CTCTGGCCACTGGGCAGCCGCATGCCCGGGATGAGCTTTTCCTTGCCCTCCAGCTCTCTGCCCAAAGCAGTGAACAAGCAATCCCCATCACCGGGAACGTCGCTCAGCTCATAGCTTCCTTTCACCAGGATGCCTGCAGGTAAGTTGGCAACACCCCGTGGCAGACGCAGCTCATCCATTCGGCCCTGGTTTTTGCTCTTGCTCTGGCTGCTGCTGCTGTCACTGCTGCTGCTACTGCTGGAGCTGCTCGAGGAGCTGGACCGCTTCTTTTTGCTGCAAGCCTTTTTCCCTGCACTCGTCCCCTTTGCTGCCTTGGTCTTTCTTCCAGGTACTGGCATGGCCTGGTGCTTCACTCGACTCTCGAAATTCGGTCCGGCCAGGGCCCATTCGGACAGATGCTTCAGAGTCTCTGCAGCTTGGCCACTTCCTGGAATGGACATAGTGCGGCGACATGCCAGCGCATATTCGGTCCCTGCCTTGTTGACCTTCTTGTCGGGCCTGTGGCAGTAGCATCGGACCTGAAAACCCCCACAGGGATTTTGCTTGCTTGGCTGTCGGAAGGTAAAGAGGACCTTGACATCATCCGCAAGCTGTATTGTTTTGCCTTTTGCAGCTCTCTGGATGATGTCTTCGACCTCTTCCTGTGGAAGCATTCCATGGACGTCCAAAGCAGCAGATTTGAAAGCCTGGCTGACTCGGGCCTTTGTCTGGAGTGCCTCTGTCTGGACAGCATCATCATCACTCTCGGACCCTGCCTGGTCTGGACCATTCGGACCCTTCGAAGTGCAGACGGAATCGAGAGTAAACGGACCTGTGTCCATGGGTTGCACATCCAGGAAAAATGGCCTGTCGTTGTCAGCCTCCTCCTTTTCGGGCCCACGTCCGCAACCTTTAATATACAAGAACTCCCCCGTCCAATTGCTGCTAGGCACCAAGGAAGCAGCCAGCTCTGGAAGGCTGAAAAGCCATGTTTGCCGACCACATCCCGGTTTCCACTTCGGGGCCAAGATGAGACCTTGCCTCGTGGTCGGCTGGAGGTACCTCGTGGGTTAGATAGACTGACATTGAACAGAACAAGAGCTCCAGGGTCCCGCATAGCATTGTGGAAGACAGCATATTACGAATTACCACTAGTACATATTACTATATTACTGCTTACTGATTGATGACTGAGTTACTGCTTATGCCGCTTCTCAAACCAGGCTACGTGTCCTCCTCCAGAGACAGGAAGGTGGCTCGCACAGGCCGATCATATGTCAGGTAGCAAACCTGATACCAAAGGCATCGGACCATGGACCCGGCAATCTCGGGCCTCTGCAACCGGACAACTACGTGGTTCTCATCGAGCAGCAATCGCTGCTTGGTTTTGACCTTGGACGGCTCCTTCAAGCCTTGACCAGCAAAGGTCATCAGCATGTTGGCTAATGCCTTTTCCAGGTTGCGGGCTGCAGGGGAGAGCACAAGCCCAGCTTGTCTGATGGCACGGGCTGCTCGAGCATTATCAGACTCTTTCGCTAGTTTGACCCCAGGCATAGGCCGCAAAACCACGTGCCGCCGCTCCCACTCCGCCAGCCGCGACTCCCTTGACCGTCCAAGAACTCCGGTGATGCTCGGAGCACAAGCAACATCTTGAGCAGCTTTGCTCATCCATGTGTGTTGCACAAAGTCAGAAGTGAAGCCTGTGTCAGGGACAGGATCAGAGCAGGCAGGTGGTCGTTGGATGCGCCAGCTGAAGATGTGGTCCTTCAAAGGATCTAGAGGCCAAAGTTCACCCTTGCAGTCCACATGCGACAGAAAGTCCTCTCGGGCCTGCTTGTCCCCTGCTTGGGCCTGATTGTGCTGTCTGTCCATTTCCGAGCTGATTTGCTGCCACCTCATCCACAGTGGATCGGACCGATCTCTTTGGAGCTGTCGGCGTGCTTCCTTGGGATCAAAGCGACTTTGCAGCCGCCTGGCCGCCTTGCGCTTCAGCCTCAAAGGCCAAGCCAAGGGATCTGCCCTGCGAACCTTCGAGCGTTTTCCTCCAGCGACACGACGCCTTTGGGTCATGGCATGGGCCAGGTTCCCATACTTCTGCATCTCAGACTCGGAGAGCTGCCGGTACTTTTGCACATCCTCCCTGTTTGCCAGTCGGCCCCGGACATTGCTGGCCACATAAGCCTGATATGCAGAGATGCTTCTTTGTTTCTTGGCAGTAGTCTTTTTTCGGGTTTTGTCCTGGGCCCTTGCGTTTCTTTCCGTTCCCGGAAGAGTCCTCAGTCGGACCCTTGTTGCCTGCCATGGACAGATCGGACCAGAGGTCTGCATGGCGAGCCGGCGTCCCCTGCAACATCCTCATCATGCGCTGGGCACTCTGTTCCTGCAACTTCAGAGCTCTGCCGAGATCGCTCCGGCGCCTCGCCCATTTCTTGCCTGCAACATGCCCTGCTTCTATCTCATTCGTGCTCTCACGTGTCAGCTTCGCCACAGTGAGCACTTCAGCCTGGCAACCTGCTCCAAGCAGATCCTCTTCCTCGGAAGATGCTGGGCAGTTGAGCAGGCCCCACCTTCCCCATGCCTCTGACCAAAAACTTACACATTCAACAGACACCTCACGGGTGCAAGCATCCTGAATTCCCATATAGTGTTTCTTGACAATGCACACTTGCGAGAATCCCACTTTGCAAGCATGAAATCACATACAGGGGAAGGCTAAACCTGGGCCCAGGGGAAAGTTCACAGACATGACCTCACTTTCATTGCCGAAAAGCTCGTGGATATGCTGCAAGCATGAGCCTGCCGAAGGAGTCGAACAAATCCTTGCTGATGCTGGCATCTTCAGCAATCTCGCCTGCAGCTGCTTTGCTTGCCAGGATCTCAAAGAATGCATATGGGTATACCCTCTGCTCGATGATGCCCAGGGAATAAAGGGAGCCTTGAAGCCGGGTGGTCATCCGGTAGAGCAGCAGTTCCAGGGGCACGCTCTTGCTTTCTGGGAATAACTCGGACAAAACTTTTGGACCCTGGCAGAAGTCCTCACTGCTAGACTGCAACAAACGATGCAAGTCCAAAGCTCGGAAGGCTGTCTGAGCTGGATAAACTGCATGCTCGCGCGTACTCTTGTCGTGCGGTCTAGGCAACTCCCTGCACATCTGCTGGTGCTCATAATCATTGCCACAGCGATCCACTGCGGCTCTTTTCAGTTCATCCGTTCGGGTCAGGGTTAGAACTGCCACATAGAGGTTCTGCAGGGAATCGGACCGATGCAGGTACTCCTGCACGTCACTTTCGAAGGGCATGTGCAACAACAAACCGTGACAGCAAAAGAGCTGGAGCATGTGTGCGCTCGAAGCATGCTGCCCTTGCCAGGATCTTCGTGGAAAGTTGATGGGAGGAGGACTGAACAAGGCCTCCAGTCCATAGGCCTGTCGAAGCTTGAAGCGGAGGCTCTCGGTTCCATTTGGGCAGCAATCGGGCCCAATGCAATAGTGTTGCAGCTCAGACCCAAGTCGGACATCTCCATTCAAAACATAGTCCCAAAGGAACTTTCTTCGGGCCTCGGCCTTGGTCTTGGGAGCATGAGGCCACAAGACACTGGCCATTTGGGCCCGCCAGCGCTTCACTTCAGCAGGTGGCTCTCCTGCATACACTCGGCACTTCTGGAGAGCAAACTTCATAACTCGGTCCCTTGCTAGTCTCGTGAACCCGGCTTTTTGCCGAAATGCCAATGTGGCATTGATCAAAAAGCTTTCTGTCGCTGGATCCACGGAAAGTGCATTCTGCTCAGATGTGCGATATCTGTGTAGGCAACACCGCAACAATGTCGATGGAACTCCAGTGTCGACCTCCAAGGAACGCTCTGCTGCTAAGGCAGATCGGTGCAAATCCGTGTGTCGCAGCACCTCAGATGCCCACAGTCTGTCGGTTCCAGGCAGGAGAGGCTGGAACAATCTATGTCTGTAATATTTGAATGGGTTCATGCTGCCCCTGGTTGAAGCCCGGTTATAATGTCTGATGTTCTAACGGTCTGCTCATAAACAGGCGAGGATCAATCTGCCTTTTGAAGACCTCGAGCATTCGGGCCTCCTCTGCACTCCAAGACATCGTGTCCATGATGGTTTTCCGCACAATGGGGCCCTGCTGATTTTCCATTGCCACCAATGGACTGGTCAGGGTGCCATGCACCAGGTGATACCGCGGAAGGTCCTCTCGGAACCCTGGCTTCAAGTACAGACACATGCCCCATCGCAGTTTGCTGGCCATAATCTTTCCGATCTCGGGAGTATATACAATCTCGCCAGTGTCCTCCTGCAGGTACCCTTGCGAGCAGTATGTGGGAGTCTCGTCGTAGAGTCGTTCCCAAACGAAAAGTCGAGCCTCTATGTTTTCTTCCTTCTGAATCTTTCCGAGCAGCTCCTTGAAGCTTTGTCGCTCTGCAGATTCTGCAAGAGAAGAACGCAAGATTGCATCTTTAGCATCCCAAGCTTTCGAAAGTCCAGCCTTTTTTAACGGTCTTGGTCTCGGGCCTGCCTGTGGAGCTTGTGCTGCAGCATTCACTCGTGCCTGAGGCTCTGAAGCTTGCTCTCTGTCCGGGCATTGGGCTGCCGGATGCCGGACAGTGTCTTGCTCATCTTCGGAGCTGGATGCAGGAAACATGACCAGAAAGCACTGTCCCCGCTCTATCCTGGCTTCTGTCGTTACTGTTTGAAAGAACTAACAGTAACATGCTACCTCCTCTGTCACTGCTTTTCCTGTTAAAGACAAACTTTTGAGGTGGGTTGTGCTGGCTTCGTGTCTCGATTCTACGAAGATCGATCTGGATACTGCAGCGGCCGGTTGGTGAGTGTAACATGTCTTAACTTGACTGGACTAAATCCTGGTTTACAGCAGTGCAGAACAATCACCAGAAGAGCGCCCAGAACAGGCCTCCCAGGTTTGTCTTTGCAAAGACGCCTTCGACGAGAGACCTTAGAAAGCATGTGAGCACATATCTTGAAGACTCTCTCTCCAGGCTATCAAGCAGTTCATACAGGGGTCGAAATAGTCTGCTTTCCTTGGTAGGGGTTCCAATTGCTGAACAAACTTTGCCCCCAGAACTGAGAAACTCCGTGCATGCTAATATCCCAAATGGAAACCCAGCCGGGTTTGAACTGCTTACTGCTTCTGTTATATCAATGACTGTGAGAGATGCTGCTTCGATATTAGCTTGTTCCGTGACCCACTGTTGTCCTGAAGCCTCTACACTCTACACTCCTCTACACTAATTCGCTTCTGCCCGGAATCCTCGAATAAGGAAGCGGCTGAAGGCCATATTAGGATGAATGGATTCCAAGGGGTTAAGGATTCCTTTCAAGGGGTTTCCCTTTTTCCTTATCATGCAGGCCCTGGTGTCTGCGATCTCTTAAAATCCTGCAGGCTAATTTCACAAACCGAATACAATGCCAATGCCGAGTGCAACTTCTGTCTATCAGCAAGGCTCAGAGCAGCAAAGCAACAAAGAACGGAAAAAGCAGAAATGCTATCATTCCTGTGCTGCTATTAGATACCTGAACACCAGGACAACAAGTCGATCGCGACGACTGTCACAGCATGACAAACAGTCGATACCAACGACTGTCCCGAAATTTGGCTGCAGGCTGAAACGGCAGAGCAAAGCAGCCTGCACACGGACTCGGGTGATTCCAGACACCAGGGGGGTCCTACAGGGGCCCTTGGACCTTCTTCATTGCTTGAACGAATGAAGGTGGGGAAGGAAAGGGGCCTGGGAAGGCAGCCTCCAGGCCTGCACATGACATGCTACTTATTATGCCCACTGGCTGGCGCCTAAGGTGGCAACTCCTGAGAAGGTACAAAAAAACAATCGTCTGTATGCGGTTCTGTTATAAGCTGACTCGCCCCTTAAGTCCTATTCCTAACGGGGCTGGGGCTGGGCTGCTGTAGGGTCAAGGCAGGCTTAACGGAAGCCCCCAAACGTGTCGGCGGACCAGGGCTGCCGACGGCAGCCAGTGAGCCAGGGCAAATCGGCAGCAAACCCCAAAAGATCAGTTTCAGAGTTTAATGACGAGCCAGCAATCTTAAGAGTGTGCCACCGTAAGTCATAAAATCCAGCCCCTACGAATTGGTCTTCCCAATTGACTTACTTAATAAATAAACTCTTATAGGCATTAATAATCCAGCAGGCATGGGCTCAGGTTTACGCTGTCTCTAGGGGGTCCAAAGTTGAAGGCGCCTGCTGCTGCCCGTTCCGCTGAGGCTGTCCATTCAGCTGTGGCGGCGTAGTCCAGAAGGAGACGGACACCGAATCGAATGACGCCGACCTGAGGATTGTCCCCGCCAGCCCGCGGCAGTGGTTCTTCCCAACTAGCCGAAACTGGGAAACCATTGGAACCTCAGTGTGCTGTCGCCGCCATCTTCACGGACCGAGTCCGTGAAGATGGCGGCGACAGCACACTGAGGTTCCAATGGTTTACCAGTTTCGGCTAGTTGGGAAGAACCACTGCCGCGGGCTGGCGGGGACAATCCTCAGGTCGGCGTCATTCGATTCGGTGTCCGTCTCCTTCTGGACTACGCCGCCACAGCTGAATGGACAGCCTCAGCGGAACGGGCAGCAGCAGGCGCCTTCAACTTTGGACCCCCTAGAGACAGCGTAAACCTGAGCCCATGCCTGCTGGATTATTAATGCCTATAAGAGTTTATTTATTAAGTAAGTCAATTGGGAAGACCAATTCGTAGGGGCTGGATTTTATGACTTACGGTGGCACACTCTTAAGATTGCTGGCTCGTCATTAAACTCTGAAACTGATCTTTTGGGGTTTGCTGCCGATTTGCCCTGGCTCACTGGCTGCCGTCGGCAGCCCTGGTCCGCCGACACGTTTGGGGGCTTCCGTTAAGCCTGCCTTGACCCTACAGCAGCCCAGCCCCAGCCCCGTTAGGAATAGGACTTAAGGGGCGAGTCAGCTTATAACAGAACCGCATACAGACGATTGTTTTTTTGTACCTTCTCAGGAGTTGCCACCTTAGGCGCCAGCCAGTGGGCATAATAAGTAGCATGTCATGTGCAGGCCTGGAGGCTGCCTTCCCAGGCCCCTTTCCTTCCCCACCTTCATTCGTTCAAGCAATGAAGAAGGTCCAAGGGCCCCTGTAGGACCCCCCTGGTGTCTGGAATCACCCGAGTCCGTGTGCAGGCTGCTTTGCTCTGCCGTTTCAGCCTGCAGCCAAATTTCGGGACAGTCGTTGGGATCGACTGTTTGTCATGCTGTGACAGTCGTCGCGATCGACTTGTTGTCCTGGTGTTCAGGTATCTAATAGCAGCACAGGAATGATAGCATTTCTGCTTTTTCCGTTCTTTGTTGCTTTGCGGCTCTGAGCCTTGCTGATAGACAGAAGTTGCACTCGGCATTGGCATTGTATTCGGTTTGTGAAATTAGCCTGCAGGATTTTAAGAGATCGCAGACACCAGGGCCTGCCTGATAAGGAAAAAGGGAAACCCCTTGAAAGGAATCCTTAACCCCTTGGAATCCATTCATCCTAATATGGCCTTCAGCCGCTTCCTTATTCGAGGATTCCGGGCAGAAGCGAATTAGTGTAGAGGAGTGTAGAGGGTAGAGGCTTCAGGACAACAGTGGGTCACGGAACAAGCTAATATCGAAGCAGCATCTCTCACAGTCATTGATATAACAGAAGCAGTAAGCAGTTCAAACCCGGCTGGGTTTCCATTTGGGATATTAGCATGCACGGAGTTTCTCAGTTCTGGGGGCAAAGTTTGTTCAGCAATTGGAACCCCTACCAAGGAAAGCAGACTATTTCGACCCCTGTATGAACTGCTTGATAGCCTGGAGAGAGAGTCTTCAAGATATGTGCTCACATGCTTTCTAAGGTCTCTCGTCGAAGGCGTCTTTGCAAAGACAAACCTGGGAGGCCTGTTGTGGGCGCTCTTCTGGTGATTGTTCTGCACTGCTGTAAACCAGGATTTAGTCCAGTCAAGTTAAGACATGTTACACTCACCAACCGGCCGCTGCAGTATCCAGATCGATCTTCGTAGAATCGAGACACGAAGCCAGCACAACCCACCTCAAAAGCATGTCTTTAACAGGAAAAGCAGTGACAGAGGAGGTAGCATGTTACTGTTAGTTCTTTCAAACAGTAACGACAGAAGCCAGGATAGAGCGGGGACAGTGCTTTCTGGTCATGTTTCCTGCATCCAGCTCCGAAGATGAGCAAGACACTGTCCGGCATCCGGCAGCCCAATGCCCGGACAGAGAGCAAGCTTCAGAGCCTCAGGCACGAGTGAATGCTGCAGCACAAGCTCCACAGGCAGGCCCGAGACCAAGACCGTTAAAAAAGGCTGGACTTTCGAAAGCTTGGGATGCTAAAGATGCAATCTTGCGTTCTTCTCTTGCAGAATCTGCAGAGCGACAAAGCTTCAAGGAGCTGCTCGGAAAGATTCAGAAGGAAGAAAACATAGAGGCTCGACTTTTCGTTTGGGAACGACTCTACGACGAGACTCCCACATACTGCTCGCAAGGGTACCTGCAGGAGGACACTGGCGAGATTGTATATATTCCCGAGACCGGAAAGATTATGGCCAGCAAACTGCGATGGGGCATGTGTCTGTACTTGAAGCCAGGGTTCCGAGAGGACCTTCCGCGGTATCACCTGGTGCATGGCACCCTGACCAGTCCATTGGTGGCAATGGAAAATCAGCAGGGCCCCATTGTGCGGAAAACCATCATGGACACGATGTCTTGGAGTGCAGAGGAGGCCCGAATGCTCGAGGTCTTCAAAATGCAGATTGATCCTCACCTGTTTATGAGCAGACCGTTAGAACATCAGACATTATAACCGGGCTTCAACCAGGGGCAGCATGAACCCATTCAAATATTACAGACATAGATTGTTCCAGCCTCTCCTGCCTGGAACCGACAGACTGTGGGCATCTGAGGTGCTGCGACACACGGATTTGCACCGATCTGCCTTAGCAGCAGAGCGTTCCTTGGAGGTCGACACTGGAGTTCCATCGACATTGTTGCGGTGTTGCCTACACAGATATCGCACATCTGAGCAGAATGCACTTTCCGTGGATCCAGCGACAGAAAGCTTTTTGATCAATGCCACATTGGCATTTCGGCAAAAAGCCGGGTTCACGAGACTAGCAAGGGACCGAGTTATGAAGTTTGCTCTCCAGACGTGCCGAGTGTATGCAGGAGAGCCACCTGCTGAAGTGAAGCGCTGGCGGGCCCAAATGGCCAGTGTCTTGTGGCCTCATGCTCCCAAGACCAAGGCCGAGGCCCGAAGAAAGTTCCTTTGGGACTATGTTTTGAATGGAGATGTCCGACTTGGGTCTGAGCTGCAACACTATTGCATTGGGCCCGATTGCTGCCCAAATGGAACCGAGAGCCTCCGCTTCAAGCTTCGACAGGCCTATGGACTGGAGGCCTTGTTCAGTCCTCCTCCCATCAACTTTCCACGAAGATCCTGGCAAGGGCAGCATGCTTCGAGCGCACACATGCTCCAGCTCTTTTGCTGTCACGGTTTGTTGTTGCACATGCCCTTCGAAAGTGACGTGCAGGAGTACCTGCATCGGTCCGATTCCCTGCAGAACCTCTATGTGGCAGTTCTAACCCTGACCCGAACGGATGAACTGAAAAGAGCCGCAGTGGATCGCTGTGGCAATGATTATGAGCACCAGCAGATGTGCAGGGAGTTGCCTAGACCGCACGACAAGAGTACGCCCGAGCATGCAGTTTATCCAGCTCAGACAGCCTTCCGAGCTTTGGACTTGCATCGTTTGTTGCAGTCTAGCAGTGAGGACTTCTGCCAGGGTCCAGAAGTTTTGTCCGAGTTATTCCCAGAAAGCAAGAGCATGCCCCTGGAACTGCTGCTCTACCGGATGACCACCCGGCTTCAAGGCTCCCTTTATTCCCTGGGCATCATCGAGCAGAGGGTATACCCATATGCATTCTTTGAGATCCTGGCAAGCAAAGCAGCTGCAGGCGAGATTGCTGAAGATGCCAGCATCAGCAAGGATTTGTTCGACTCCTTCGGCAGGCTCATGCTTGCAGCATATCCACGAGCTTTTCGGCAATGAAAGTGAGGTCATGTCTGTGAACTTTCCCCTGGGCGCAGGTTTAGCGTTCCCCTGTATGTGATTTCATGCTTGCAAAGTGGGATTCTCGCAATTGTGCATTGTCAAGAAACACTATATGGGAATTCAGGATGCTGGCACCCGTGAGGTGTCTGTTGAATGTGTAAGTTTTTGGTCAGAGGCATGGGGAAGGTGGGGCCTGCTCAACTGCCCAGCATCTTCCGAGGAAGAGGATCTGCTTGGAGCAGGTTGCCAGGCTGAAGTGCTCACTGTGGCGAAGCTGACACGTGAGAGCACGAATGAGATAGAAGCAGGGCATGCTGCAGGCAAGAAATGGGCGAGGCGCCGGAGCGATCTCGGCAGAGCTCTGAAGTTGCAGGAACAGAGTGCCCAGCGCATGATGAGGATGTTGCAGGGGACGCCGGCTCTCCATGCAGACCTCTGGTCCGATCTGTCCATGGCAGGCAACAAGGGTCCGACTGAGGACTCTTCCGGGAACGGAAAGAAACGCAAGGGCCCAGGACAAAACCCGAAAAAGACTACTGCCAAGAAACAAAGAAGCATCTCTGCATATCAGGCTTATGTGGCCAGCAATGTCCGGGGCCGACTGGCAAACAGGGAGGATGTGCAAAAGTACCGGCAGCTGTCCGAGTCTGAGATGCAGAAGTATGGGAACCTGGCCCATGCCATGACCCAAAGGCGTCGTGTCGCTGGAGGAAAACGCTCGAAGGTTCGCAGGGCAGATCCCTTGGCTTGGCCTTTGAGGCTGAAGCGCAAGGCGGCCAGGCGGCTGCAAAGTCGCTTTGATCCCAAGGAAGCACGCCGACAGCTCCAAAGAGATCGGTCCGATCCACTGTGGATGAGGTGGCAGCAAATCAGCTCGGAAATGGACAGACAGCACAATCAGGCCCAAGCAGGGGACAAGCAGGCCCGAGAGGACTTTCTGTCGCATGTGGACTGCAAGGGTGAACTTTGGCCTCTAGATCCTTTGAAGGACCACATCTTCAGCTGGCGCATCCAACGACCACCTGCCTGCTCTGATCCTGTCCCTGACACAGGCTTCACTTCTGACTTTGTGCAACACACATGGATGAGCAAAGCTGCTCAAGATGTTGCTTGTGCGCCGAGCATCACCGGAGTTCTTGGACGGTCAAGGGAGTCGCGGCTGGCGGAGTGGGAGCGGCGGCACGTGGTTTTGCGGCCTATGCCTGGGGTCAAACTAGCGAAAGAGTCTGATAATGCTCGAGCAGCCCGTGCCATCAGACAAGCTGGGCTTGTGCTCTCCCCTGCAGCCCGCAACCTGGAAAAGGCATTAGCCAACATGCTGATGACCTTTGCTGGTCAAGGCTTGAAGGAGCCGTCCAAGGTCAAAAGCAAGCAGCGATTGCTGCTCGATGAGAACCACGTAGTTGTCCGGTTGCAGAGGCCCGAGATTGCCGGGTCCATGGTCCGATGCCTTTGGTATCAGGTTTGCTACCTGACATATGATCGGCCTGTGCGAGCCACCTTCCTGTCTCTGGAGGAGGACACGTAGCCTGGTTTGAGAAGCGGCATAAGCAGTAACTCAGTCATCAATCAGTAAGCAGTAATATAGTAATATGTACTAGTGGTAATTCGTAATATGCTGTCTTCCACAATGCTATGCGGGACCCTGGAGCTCTTGTTCTGTTCAATGTCAGTCTATCTAACCCACGAGGTACCTCCAGCCGACCACGAGGCAAGGTCTCATCTTGGCCCCGAAGTGGAAACCGGGATGTGGTCGGCAAACATGGCTTTTCAGCCTTCCAGAGCTGGCTGCTTCCTGGGTGCCTAGCAGCAATTGGACGGGGGAGTTCTTGTATATTAAAGGTTGCGGACTTGGGCCCGAAAAGGAGGAGGCTGACAACGACAGGCCATTTTTCCTGGATGTGCAACCCATGGACACAGGTCCGTTTACTCTCGATTCCGTCTGCACTTCGAAGGGTCCGAATGGTCCAGACCAGGCAGGGTCCGAGAGTGATGATGATGCTGTCCAGACAGAGGCACTCCAGACAAAGGCCCGAGTCAGCCAGGCTTTCAAATCTGCTGCTTTGGACGTCCATGGAATGCTTCCACAGGAAGAGGTCGAAGACATCATCCAGAGAGCTGCAAAAGGCAAAACAATACAGCTTGCGGATGATGTCAAGGTCCTCTTTACCTTCCGACAGCCAAGCAAGCAAAATCCCTGTGGGGGTTTTCAGGTCCGATGCTACTGCCACAGGCCCGACAAGAAGGTCAACAAGGCAGGGACCGAATATGCGCTGGCATGTCGCCGCACTATGTCCATTCCAGGAAGTGGCCAAGCTGCAGAGACTCTGAAGCATCTGTCCGAATGGGCCCTGGCCGGACCGAATTTCGAGAGTCGGGTGAAGCACCAGGCCATGCCAGTACCTGGAAGAAAGACCAAGGCAGCAAAGGGGACGAGTGCAGGGAAAAAGGCTTGCAGCAAAAAGAAGCGGTCCAGCTCCTCGAGCAGCTCCAGCAGTAGCAGCAGCAGTGACAGCAACAGCAGCCAGAGCAAGAGCAAAAACCAGGGCCGAATGGATGAGCTGCGTCTGCCACGGGGTGTTGCCAACTTACCTGCAGGCATCCTGGTGAAAGGAAGCTATGAGCTGAGCGACGTTCCCGGTGATGGGGATTGCTTGTTCACTGCTTTGGGCAGAGAGCTGGAGTGCAAGGAAAAGCTCATCCCGGGCATGCGGCTGCCCAGTGGCCAGAGTGGTTCGAACATGGGCCCGAGGTGGCGGTCGCAACTGGTGCAATCTGTTCGTCGATTGGCCAGCAGCAGGACACAGTTTGAGGGCCTTGGCATATCAGACTGGCTGCAGCACTCTGGGTGGCCCGACCTGGAATCCTACATCGATGGGATGACACTGGCCGCAGAAAATCCAGAGGATCCACGGCAGCACTGGGGTGGCTTTCTGGAGGCTACGATCTTGTGTCATGCAACAAGCCCATTGGTAGGTTGTCTGTTGGCCAGGCAGGTTCGAGAGGGGGTCCGATGCCAAGCTTGGTGTGGTGCTCCGTTCAAAGGCCCACCAAATTATGTGGCCATCTGCTGGACAGGAAACCACTGGCAGAGACTTCGTCTTAGGAAACCCAGCCGAAGAGAAGCTGCAGGAGTGGTTCCTCTCTGTGTAGCCAGGCCCGACTGTGTAGGCAGGCCACAAGGGCCCGACTATGTCTTGGGCGCAAGGAGACAGAAAGCAAGAGCCACGACTACGATTGTATTCAGGAGTGCCCATGTGCCATGCTAATTAGGAATAGAAGAAAACAGGGTGAGCAAGATACGACATGCAGCTGCCAGTCACATTGCAAATGAGGCGCCCTAAGAGGCATTGTAGACATGACTAGGATGTCTTGGCTGCATGCAGAGAGAAAAGGAGAGCTATGATTGTCTTGAGGACAGCCCATATGCCATGCAAAGTTAGAATACATGAAGACAGGGTCAGGTAGACTTCAGATGCAGCTGCTCCTGACATTGCAGATTAGGCGAACGAAGAGTACTTCTGGACATCAGCAAAGCTGTGCTTGCTCTGGTGCAGGTCTGAAGCCTGCTGTCGGTTTGGTGCGAGCAGATCTTTGTGCCTGAGAAGGCACATTCTGTGCTTGCAACCGCTCAGAGTAATTGCTTACAGTTACAAGTCTTGTACTTTCTGACTCCATGAGAAAATTGGAATTGTAAGGACGAGCTCTGTCATCCAGGTATTGTGCGAGCTAGCTAGTGTAACCCATGGATGGGCATGGCAGGAAATCGTGATCAGAAAGTCTCCTTTGTTGACGTATCCGGAAGCCTTCAGATTGTTATATTCAGGGGTCGTAGTTCGGCAGATTCGGGGATTGCAACGGTTCTGAGGTCTTGTGTTTGTGTGCTGGAGGCACAAGACATAGGGCACAGGGCAGTGTGCACGGCATGCTGTATCCGACATGCAGTTCGCTGCAGGCAGCAGGCTTAGCTAGAGATGTTCGTGCAAGCACCGGGTGCCTGCTAAATTGTTTGACAGAAACTCCACAGCATGTTGCAAAGGACTCGTATCCTTGGCCGACTTAGTTTATAAGCTGCAGGTAGCACGTAGCCTTTGTGCAGGTAGCCACCTTGCAGTTTTTGAGATGTTGCGTGCAGCCACGGGCGTGGCTGCTGCATTCCTGCACACTGCATACTGATGTAAGCACCAGAAGGGCCTTGGCAGGAGGCTCAGGGGTTCAGTGTGAACGAACACGACCTTGCACATACACACAGGGAGGTTGCAGGTAGCGGCAGCCTTGTGCAGGTACCCGCGCGGCCTGTGCAGGTACCCGTGCGGGCCCTGTGCGGGTACCCGCGGGAGCCTTGTGCGGGTACCCGCGCGGCCTGTGCGGGTACCCGCGCTGGCCTTGTGCGGGTACCCGCGCGGGCCTTGTGCGGGTACCCGCGCGGGCCTTGTGCGGGTACCCGCGCGGGCCTTGTGCGGGTACCCGCGTGGCTTCTTGGCGTGTTCTTGAATTGACTAAGTCTAAGTAAATTCCATTGAGGTTTTTGCAAAAAACTTAAGGCTTAAGGCTTAAGGCTTAAGACTAGGTAGTTCAGTATTACCCACAGACATACCGGCCCTTTGCGGGTACCCGCGCGGGCCTTGTGCGGGTACCCGCGCGGGCCTTGTGCGGGTACCCGCGCGGGCCTTGTGCGGGTACCCGCGCGGGCCTTTTGCGGGTACCCGCGCGGGCCTTGTGCGGGTACCCGAGCGGGCCTTGTGCGGGTACCCGCGCGGGCCTTGTGCGGGTACCCACGTGGCTTCTTGGCGTGTTCTTGAATTGACTAAGTCTAAGTGAATTCTATTGAGGTTTTTGCAGAAAGCTTAAGGCTTAAGGCTTAAGGCTTAGGTAGTTCAGTATTACCCACAGACATGCCGGCCCTTTGCGGGTACCCGCGCGGGCCTTGTGCGGGTACCCGCGCGGGCCTCGTGCGGGTACCCGCGCGGGCCTTCTGCGGGTACCCGCGCGGGCCTTTTGCGGGTACCCGCGCGGGCCTTTTGCGGGTACCCGCGCGGGCCTTGTGCGGGTACCCGCGCGGGCCTTGTGCGGGTACCCGCGCGGGCCTTGGGTGCAAGGTAGACCCACTGGCTTCCTTGGCTGTACTTTGATTGAATTTAAGTCTAAAAGTAAATCCATTGAATGTTTTTGCGAGAAAAAAGCTTAAGGCTAAGGCCTTAAGCACTTAGGTTTTCAGTAAATTACCCACAGACCCATACCGGCCCCTTGCGGGTAACCCTCGCGGGCCCTGTGCGGGTACCCGCGGGAGCCTTGTGCGGGTACCCGCGCGGCCTGTGCGGGTACCCGCGCAGGCCTTGTGCGGGTACCCGCGCGGGCCTTGTGCAGGTACCCGCGCGGGCCTTGTGCGGGTACCCGCGCGGGCCTTGTGCGGGTACCCGCGTGGCTTCTTGGCGTGTTCTTGAATTGACTAAGTCTAAGTAAATTCCATTGAGGTTTTTGCAGAAAGCTTAAGGCTTAAGGCTTAAGACTTAGGTAGTTCAGTATTACCCACAGACATACCGGCCCTTTGCGGGTACCCGCGCGGGCCTTCTGCGGGTACCCGCACGGGCCTTGCATGTGCGGGTACCCGCACGGGCCTTGTGCGGGTACCCGCGCGGGCCTTTTGCGGGTACCCGCGCGGGCCTTTTGCGGGTACCCGCGCGGGCCTTGTGCGGGTACCCGCGCGGGCCTTGTGCAGGTACCCGCGCGGGCCTTGTGCGGGTACCCGCGCGGGCCTTGTGCGGGTACCCGCGTGGCTTCTTGGCGTGTTCTTGAATTGACTAAGTCTAAGTAAATTCCATTGAGGTTTTTGCAGAAAGCTTAAGGCTTAAGGCTTAAGACTTAGGTAGTTCAGTATTACCCACAGACATACCGGCCCTTTGCGGGTACCCGCGCGGGCCTTCTGCGGGTACCCGCACGGGCCTTGCATGTGCGGGTACCCGCACGGGCCTTGTGCGGGTACCCGCGCGGGCCTTTTGCGGGTACCCGCGCGGGCCTTTTGCGGGTACCCGCGCGGGCCTTGTGCGGGTACCCGCGCGGGCCTTGTGCGGGTACCCGCGCGGGCCTTGTGCGGGTACCCGCGTGGCTTCTTGGCGTGTTCTTGAATTGAGTAAGTCTAAGTAAATTCCATTGAGGTTTTTGCAGAAAGCTTAAGGCTTAAGGCTTAAGGCTTAAGACTTAGGTAGTTCAGTATTACCCACAGCCATACCGGCCATTTGCGGGTACCCGCGCGGGCCTTGTGCGGGTACCCGCGCGGGGGTACCGCGGGCCTTTTGCGGGTACCCGCGCGGGCCTTGTGCGGGTACCCGCGCGGGCCTTGTGCGGGTACCCGCGCGGGCCTTGTGCGGGTACCCGCGTGGCTTCTTGGCGTGTTCTTGAATTGACTAAGTCTAAGTAAATTCCATTGAGGTTTTTGCAGAAAGCTTAAGGCTTAAGGCTTAAGGCTTAAGACTTAGGTAGTTCAGTATTACCCACAGACATACCAGCCCTTCGCGGGTACCCGCGCGGGCCTTGTGCGGGTACCCGCGCGGGCCTTGTGCGGGTACCCGCACGGGCCTTGTGCGGGTACCCGCGCGGGCCTTTTGCGGGTACCCGCGCGGGCCTTGTGCGGGTACCCGCGCGGGCCTTGTGCGGGTACCCGCGTGGCTTCTTGGCGTGTTCTTGAATTGACTACGTCTAAGTAAATTCCATTGAGGTTTTTGCAGAAAGCTTAAGGCTTAAGGCTTAAGGCTTAGGTAGTTCAGTATTACCCACAGACATACCGGCGCTTTGCGGGTACCCGCGCGGCCCTTGTGCGGGTACCCGCGCGGGCCTTGTGCGGGTACCCGCGCGGGCCTTCTGCGGGTACCCGCACGGGCCTTGTGCGGGTACCCGCGCGGGCCTTTTGCGGGTACCCGCGCGGGCCTTGTGCGGGTACCCGCGCGGGCCTTGTGCGGGTACCCGCATGGCTTCTTGGCGTGTTCTTGAATTGACTACGTCTAAGTAAATTCCATTGAGGTTTTTGCAGAAAGCTTAAGGCTTAAGGCTTAAGACTTAGGTAATTCAGTATTACCCACAGACATACCAGCCCTTTGCGGGTACCCGCACGGGCCTTGTGCGGGTACCCGCGCGGGCCTTGTGCGGGTACCCGCGCGGGCCTTGTGCGGGTACCCGCGCGGGCCTTTTGCGGGTACCCGCGCAGGCCTTGTGCGGGTACCCGCGCGGGCCTTGTGCGGGTACCCGCGCGGGCCTTGTGCGGGTACCCGCGTGGCTTCTTGGCGTGTTCTTGAATTGAGTAAGTCTAAGTAAATTCCATTGAGGTTTTTGCAGAAAGCTTAAGGCTTAAGGCTTAAGGCTTAAGACTTAGGTAGTTCAGTATTACCCACAGCCATACCGGCCATTTGCGGGTACCCGCGCGGGCCTTGTGCGGGTACCCGCGCGGGGGTACCGCGGGCCTTTTGCGGGTACCCGCGCGGGCCTTGTGCGGGTACCCGCGCGGGCCTTGTGCGGGTACCCGCGCGGGCCTTGTGCGGGTACCCGCGTGGCTTCTTGGCGTGTTCTTGAATTGACTAAGTCTAAGTAAATTCCATTGAGGTTTTTGCAAAAAGCTTAAGGCTTAAGGCTTAAGACTTAGGTAGTTCAGTATTACCCACAGACATACCGGCCCTGTGCGGGTACCCGCGCGGGCCTTGTGCGGGTACCCGCGCGGGCCTTGTGCGGGTACCCGCGCGGGCCTTGTGCGGGTACCCGCGCGGGCCTTTTGCGGGTACCCGCGCGGGCCTTGTGCGGGTACCCGCGCGGGCCTTGTGCGGGTACCCGCGCGGGCCTTGTGCGGGTACCCGCGTGGCTTCTTGGCGTGTTCTTGAATTGATTAAGTCGAAGTAAATTCCATTGAGGTTTTTGCAGAAAGCTTAAGGCTTAAGGCTTAAGACTTAGGTAGTTCAGTATTACCCACAGACATACCGGCCCTTTGCGGGTACCCGCGCGGGCCTTGTGCGGGTACCCGCGCGGGCCTTGTGCGGGTACCCGCGCGGGCCTTGTGCGGGTACCCGCACGGGCCTTTTGCGGGTACCCGCGCGGGCCTTGTGCGGGTACCCGCGCGGGCCTTGTGCGGGTACCCGCGCGGGCCTTGTGCGGGTACCCGCGTGGCTTCT